AGTAAAGTTGTCTTTAGAGTCTGATTTCTCTATTGTTTTAGAGAATACATTTTTTGTAGCAATAATGAGACATAATTTAATTTCTATATCGAAACTTGAAACTTTTGATTTTTCCTTTAATTTTGGTAATGGAATGGTTGAATTGTTTTATGATTCTCGTCTAATTGGAAATGGCCTTTTATATGATGGTTTATATAAATTGTCTTTAGCTCATTTTGGTAAAGTCTCTTATGTTACCAATGTGTCAAAGAAAAGGTCTTTAATTTGTGAATCATCTTCTATGTTGTGGAATAAGTAGTTGGGTCATATTTCAAGGGTTACTTTATTGGGTACCCAGACATCAAAAGGATATAAGTTCTACTGTCCAAATCATGGCATTAGAATTGTTTAGTCCATCACTGCTAAATTTTCGGAGAATGATTTTGGTGATTGTAGGTGTTCTACATTGAAAGAACTTTTTGTTGAACTATATCAAGTTGTTGTTCCAATTCATGTTATACAAGAATCAATTGGTTTTCAACCAGTTGAAATTGTTAATGAAGAATTAAGGAACCAAGAAGAACTTCCAATTCTTCCTCCAACAACGATTTAGTAAGTTGCTGAGCCACAAGTTAAAAGATCACAAAGGGAAAGACGGTTTGCATTACCAAATGATTACATTACCTATTTATAAGAGTGATTTTAAAATTGGGCATATTGTTGATCCTGTCACTTATGATCAAGCACTGACAAGTCCCGAAGTCATATAAATGGATAAATGCTATGGAAGATAAAATGAATAGAGTTAGAGAACTTGTTGAACTTCCTCCGGATACTGACGTTATAGATAACAAGTGGATCTTCAAAAACAAATTGGATTCAAAAAGGAATGTTGAACAAAAAAAGGCAAGATTGGTTGTAAAAGGGTTTACTCAGCGAGAGGGCATTGACTATAATGAAACATTCTCACTTGTTTCGTTCAAAGATTCTTTTCGAATTATCATAGCACTTGTGGCACACTATAATTTGGAGTTTCATCAGATGAATATTAAGACAATTTTTTTGAATTGAGATCTTTCTGAAAAGGTTTACATGAGACAACTTGAAAGTTTTGTTGTGAATGGAAAAGAAAACTTTGTATGCAAATTAAACAAATCCTTATATGGTCGCTTCAAACAAGCATCTCGATAGTGGTATTTAAAGTTTGACGAAGTTGTAACTTCTCCTAGATTGATCGAAAATACAGTTGATCGATGCATTTATTTCAAATCCAGTAGAAGAAAATTTATTTTTCTTGTCTTGTATGTTAATGACATTTTGCTTGCTAGCAGTGACTTGGGGTTGCTTCATGAGACAAAAAAATGTTGTCTGCTAATTTTGAGATGAAAGATCTTGGAAAAGCTACTTATGTGTTTGGAATTGAAATACATCATGATAGAAATCGTGACTTGTTGGAACTTTCGTAGAAGGCTTACATACGATGTGTTCTAGAAATGTTCAATATACAGAATTGGACACTGGTGATGTACCAATTATGAAAGGGGATAAGTTTAACAAAGCTTAATGTCCAATGAATGAGGTAGAAAGAAAATCTATGAAGATGATGTCATATGCTAGTGTTGTAGAGAGTTTGATGTATGCTCAAGTTTGCATTAGATCGAATATAGTCTATGCAATCAGTGTTCTTAGTGGGTTTCAGTCGAATCAAGGCAAAAGCATTGGAAAGCAGCTAAGAAAGTTATGAGATACTTGAAGAAAACTAAAAGTTACATGCTTACTTTCCAGCGTTCAAATTACCTTTAGGTGTTAGGCTACTCAGATTTTGATTCTACTAGATGTCAAGATGATTTGAAATCAACCTTAAGTTATATTTTCATGCTAGCTAGTGGTGCTATTTCTTGGAAGTGTTAAGTAGACTCGAGTGGCATCTTCTACTATGAAAGCTGAATTTATGGCATGTTATGACTACAGTCTAAGTCGTTTGGTTAGGGAATTTTATTTCTGAGTTGAAAGTTTGTTGTTTCCATCTCGAGGCCAATCACTATTTATTATGATAATAGCACAGCAGTATTCTTTTCAAAGAATAATAAAAGTTCTGGTAGGTTAAAGCACATTGACATCAAATATTTGGTGGTTAGAGATAGAGTTAAGGAATGACAGATGAAAGTAGAGCATATCAAAAAAGAGGCAATGATTGCAGATCCTTTAACTAAGGAACTCGCTTCGAAAGTTTTTAAAACACATGTTGCTAATATGGATATTGTGAAAACCCTTGATTTTTTGGTTAGTGAGAGTTACTTATATAAAAGAACTATATTTTGGCTTGATCCCTTCACGGAGTACGTAGGCAACCCATATGTTTTTCGGGTACAGCCCCTTCCAAGAATAAAACATATTTTTCCCCACCATAAATTATTTTGAGCATGCATTTGGATTATGTCCTTTTGTTTTGATATCATTATGATCTTGAGATATAACGAATAAAAATATAAGATGAGTCTCTTTTAAAGACATGTGACTTTATTTTGTTTTGAAGCATTATGAGGATGATATGAATTAGCACAATTTTTTTTTATCACATTTGGTGCTAAGTTCATATTATCACATTAGTTGAAAGATGGAGATCCATGTCAATAAGGGTGTTGACATTTGTAGTTGTGGAGTAGTCTTACATCATTTAAATGGTATAACGATTTTCATGTTCGATGTTGACATTCTTGTTGGATTGGATCATGTTGTGTAAGGTGTTATTATTGGAACTATACTTGTGTTGCCACCTATGTAGTCTAACACAGTAGTCAAAAAAATTGTTTTATTACTTAATAGCAATCAAATGTTTGCCTAAGTAGAAGAATGTTAAAATAATTCTAAAATATGGGCTTTTCATTGGATTGCAAATTTTATGGGCTAAATGTATATCTCATAATAATACTGTGATTAAGCCTAATTTGTTAAGTGATCATCTGGGATCGTTCCATAGGTTATATCTTATATAATGTGGTAATTTAAGTATGTGAGCCAGAAATATGAAACCCTAATAAGGGTTGGAGTCGTTAATGAGACGACTCAATAAATTTCTATATAAAGGTTAGGTTCCCTCTCCTTTCCATATGTTTTTATTGGCTTACGCCACTGACGGCTAGTATTTTGTGAGAATTAAGGAAAGGAAGATCTATCGCTAATATTTGCATTCAAGATGTCTTCTGCATGTATGATTCTTAAACTATTAATTTAGAATTGTGATTCTTGTTTCTTAGCATGATTATTGTTAAAGACAACATTTATCTGCTAGTCTACTCTGTTCTGGTTCGCGTCCCATATCGTGGGATCTTCTAGTAGTGGCAAAAGACGGGGCTGTTTCATATGGGTGTATGTGCAGCTTGCATCTTTTTGGACAGCTTGCTATTCTCAAACTTCTACGCCACTTAAAACACTTGATTGGAGTCTCCTCTTCTCAAGTCGAGAGCTCCTTGTTTGTTTAAATATACTTGATCCCTTCTTTATTTTCCTTGACCAGAAAACATGCCAGCTTTGGAAGTGTCAAGTATTGATGGCATGCTTGTCCTAGAGTCTAGCCTTGTCTAATACTATCGGCAAGAATACGCATAATTTTGATGGGAACGAGTTACTAGGGGAGACACAAATGAATTCGAATGAACCTTGATTCCTTCTGGGTTACATTCATAATATGTATTGAATTTAGTTACTCTTCTAACCTTCAATGCATAGCTTAATACTATTTTCAATTTTGAAGATTCAGTATATAATTAGATTGTATAAAAATAACATGTATAAATTTATGCCTTCCTATTTTAACATGTCATATTGACGCTTTGAACAAAAATTTAAACAAAATATCAAAATGAAATTTTTATTTCATTATGCATATAAGAGTATGTTTGGGAAGTGTTTATAAACAATTTATATTATAAATCTATAATCTATTAAAATATCACATGAAGAGAGAATCATTTTTTGGATGATTTTAACTCCCTATAATTCAACTATTTCAATAATACTTTACTTTTTATTTTTTTATATATAATAAATACTACAAAATTATTGTCATTTATGAAATTTGTGTTATTAATTCTCAATTAAATAACATTCACATTAATCTAGATTCAATAAATTTTCACTGATGAATCTTAAATTACATAAATCTGGAGTTATTATAGATTAATTTATTCATATTCATGTATCTGAAAATTTTAATGGGTGTTTAAATTTATGTATTAACAATTAGTTTTTATGTATCAAATGTAATATAAAAAGACTATTCATTTATAGTATTTTATCATTATAAAAAAAATTGAATCATTGAAATTGAGTTGTGAGTGTACAATTTGAGGACAATTTTCTTCTCTTAAATTTCTATACTAAATTTAATTTTTTAAATTCATCTGAAACTCATCAAATCCTTCAATAAATTGGTATCAAATATTACTTTTACTTCTCTTATAAAGTATTTTAGAATAACGTGCAATGCTCGTTCAACTTTGACTAGTAGATAGAAATAAATGATAGATAAGTCGATAATACTTCTGGATATCTTAAAATGTATGGATATAAAATGATTTGGAGTGATAAATAATTTACAAATATGAGTCAAGCATAGACTAAGTCCTTTGTTGGTAGAAATTAAAATTAAAATTTTAATTTAAATCAAAATCAACAATTTAATTTTCATATTTAAACCACAGACTTCATCGATTTTTATTAAAATATACTAAAATTTTAATATTAATCTCCACCAACCAAGGTGCATAACCATTAAAATTTAATAATGTATAAGATTATTCATAAATGAGTAGGTTTTCTTAGCCAATTATATATATATACCATTCTTTTCAAATTTAATGGTTGGAATATTGTTTTTTGAAAAATGTATGATTGGAAAAGAATGATTTTTTTTTTATTTGCATGGAATATTATTTTATCGAAGATTGTGGAGTTAAAAATAAGAGAGGGAAAAAGAAAGAGTAAGAATGGGAGCAAACAAGGCTTATATTTTCCCCAAAAGAAGGGGTAAGCCCTGCTTTGTGGGCTTGTACCTTTTCTGTTCCATAGTACCCAGACGAAACCCTTCTCGCAGTCGTTCCTCCGACTTCACTTATCACGATCTCTTCTCGCCGATTTCCACTCATACGTTAATATAAATTCACAATTTAGATACGTATACACGCATCCACAGGCCTCAACTCATCTCCTTCAGGTAGCTCGTGTGAGGGGAAAAGGTAAATATTTACTTTTTTTGTTGGTGAATTTGGAAATGGGAGCCAAGGGAATTTTTGGGCTGATGGCGAAATAGAGGATTTGGAATGTTTAGCATTCTGCTTGTATATCTGTTTAACTTTCTAACTTTTGGCAGGGAAAGGAAAATAACATTTTGATTAAAACTGTTGACATGATTTACACATCACTGAACCTTAAAGAATTATTATACCTGAAGCTCTTCATTCTTTCAACTTTTTATGGCTAATTTGTATTTGTGTACGTACTTCATGGGTTTTACAATATAAATACTTCTTATATGATACTCTCACTGAGCACTTTTTCTTGAATGTTCATGTTATTATTGAATCTGCATCAAAGATCTGTACACAACATGATACAAATTTTTTATCCTTCATTTGGAAATGTTTCTATTTAGATAACTGTGAGTATGTGATGCAAATTAAGGTTGATTGTCAGTTCTAGTAATCTTTACAAAATTAAATTAGTAGAGCTTGCTTGGAGGCCAAGATGGGCACAGAGGTTGAGCAGGCTACTGGCCATATTCAGACTACTGTAACAACTCCATCTGCAGCATCAACGAGTGGCCCAAAGGTTTCTATGTTTTCAAGAAAATCTGGATTTGTTATACCCAAAAACAAGTTGTCAGGTTCATTGGTTCCTGTGTTCCGAGGTGGTAAAAAGGGAGATAGTGATGCAGTAAATTCAGAAGGCACTAAACCAGTTCAAAGAAAAACCAAGTGGGGTCCTGATCTAACCATGGATACTTCTGTTAGGAAAGGAAGAGCATTGGCATATCAGGTGCTTGGAGTTTAATATTATTTTTCTTCATATTTAATCAATTTCTGTCTAGATTCCCCCACCTCCAATCACAATCCAAGATATGTGGGTATTTTTTTGTTGGTGTCATTATATTTCTTTAACCTGGTTATGTTAGTTTGAGGATTTACTTATCTAGTATGAGTTCAAGTTCATAGAAATAAGTTGAGTGCTCTTGTATCCATCATGTGCGAGGAATAATTTATTGCTTGGTGGCAATTGAAGAATTTTTTCTCTTGTGTTGAGTGCAAAATATGTCAGCATCTTCTATTTGAATGGTTTGCATCAACTTCGTATCAAAGGGGCTACTAAGTGATGATAGTGCTGCTTTTGTGGTATTACAAATTTTTGGCAGACTCGGGTTGATCAAATAACACAACAGCTAAGTTTGGGGATGTTGGAGACTGAGGACAGTGAGGACTCATTGTCAGCATCACAATTTCAGGATAGGAAGTCTTTAACTCGTCGGCACAATAATGAGGTGAATTGACATTAAGATTCTTCTACCTTGGTCTTTCAACTGTCTTTAACATTCAATGAACTTACTCTATGATATGGGATTTAGAAATCTGAGTTATTGGAACTTGAAAGGCGCGAAGCTATTGGTATGTACATTGATGACTACTCCTTGGATTTTTGTGCTCTCCTTAGTTTTATGGTTAATTTTATTCTGTTTGTTTGTCAATTTTTAGGCGAGATACTAAAGTTAAATCCAAGCTTTAAGGCTCCTGCAGATTACAAACCTCTGCTCAAAGAGGCAAATGTTCCAATTCCAGTGAGTGAACATTTTTCTAGCATTTAATTATTTGCTCTTTGCTCTCTGTTTTGTAATTTTATAATTATAGTAAAGGTCTACATAGTTGTTCGTGTTTTCTCAATCTCTGAACAAGATTTTACGGTGTTTATGGAAAATCATGATTTTATTTTACAGTAATAAGCGTCTGAATGAAAATAGGGAACTCTTTGTTAGTTTGCTTTACGTTAATAAGTATTTCGATAGAACTATGTAACCACCATCTTGCTGAGTACAAGTTAAGATGGTGGCCAACTTAAGAAACATGGAAGTGTATGTAATATAGGTAAAAATGGAAACTCTATGCCTGAAGTAGAAATAATGAGACTGTATCTAATGTGTAGTTGATTTAATGAGAAGAGGAAGGCCAAAAGAATGACTAGACGTTTTAGAGAGGGTATTATGGCTTGGAGTTCTAATGAGACTTTGGTTTCTGTATTTCAGAGATAACAAAACATTTAAACGTCTCATTATGTGGTAGATTTTTATGACTTTTTATTAGCTCGTACTGTTACTTTTAAATGTTCATCTAATGGATATAGTAAGATCATTCTTATTAGCATCAACAAGCTTGATTTTTGTATGCAAGTAGTAGTCGCCTCATGAGCCTCTATAATTCCGTCTTTGTAGATTAAAGAATATCCTGGCTACAATTTTATCAGTTTAGTGTTTGGCCCTGCAAGTGATACTCAAAAGCAACTGGAAAAGGTACACGTCCATCATTACCAAAGCTTTGGATTTCAATTCTTGATTTGTTAATATTCAATAATCAGCGCATGCAATAATATATATGAACGTAAAAATCAGGAAACAGGAGCAAAAATACGATTATATGGCACAAGAGCTGATACAGGAGGAAAGGTAACATGGCTTTTAAAAATAATATTATTTTTCACTATCTTATTTTGGATTTTTCATTTTTGTGTGTGTGTGTGTGTGTTTAATAGGCTAAAGTTATGGGTAGCATGTCCTATCCAATATTTCCTCCACATTAGATGTGACAACTTGTAGGTGGTTTGATACATTACCCACTAGGGCAACCTTGTGGTCTCACCTTCATTAGACCACACACAGTAAAGAACTTTTCTTAGGTTCTGTTTCCGTCTATGGCATCATATTCAAGCTGATTATAATTTTCATATTGCTTCAATCTCAGATTGAAGTCGCTTCTAGTGACGGGAAGGAAACACCTGGTGCCTATGATGAGTTGCATATTCATGTATCAGCTGATACGTATGAGAAAGTTGATGCTGCAGTGTCTTTGATCGAACTGTTAGTCAACCCAGTTTCAGTATGTTCGAATTCTAAACAAACCGAAATATATACATGTTTATTGTTCTACAGTTTTAATTGGAAGTTTACTTGTTTTTATTCAGCTCTTTGCTTTGCATTTTTCTGCTAATTAATTCAATTAGTTTTGCTTCATTTTTAGATGAATCTGGCACCTGCTTCAGAAACATTGGCAACTGCTTCTGGTGATAATGTTGGTAAATCTGATCCTCCGACTGAAGGCGCACCTAGCTCCTACATGCCACCTGCACAAATGAACCATGGAGTGGTAAGACCTGTACCGCCCCTTATGCAAGGTCACTTTCGACAATATCCACAGCCATGGTTTCCTGCAGGTCCAACTCAGATTCCAATACATCCACGCTCTGCACCAGATTCTTCTGCACCTTTTCAAAATAACGTATCCCTAATATATTCATCTTCCAGTACCTCGAATATGCCTTCACAATTTGGTCCTCAACCAGTTTTGGCATCAAGTTTACCTCAAAATCCTTCTCTCTTTCCTTCAAGACCACAACTACCCCATGTTTTACAGCCACCATACACGCATCAGGCACTCTCTCCTGGTCAGTTTGGCATTCCAAGAAATTTTCCCTCGTCAAGCTTACAATTAACTGCTTTACCTACACCAACAGGGCCTCCCCAAATGGTGAGACCTGTCTTGTCCCCATTGCCCCAATCACCATTGAGCAGTTCAGCATCTCAAGGTCAAAACATGTTGCCAATGGCTCCATCAACTGTTCCCTTTCAAAGACAGCCTTTGGCTTCACATCCCATTGTTGTGTCTGGAGCTTCACCAGTAAATATATCAGCTGTACCCTTTGCAGTGACATCTTCAACACCACATCTTTTGCAACATGGGAATTCAAACTCTGTTTCTGGAACTACCCCAAATTTTGAGACAATGAAACCCCCTTCTCTTGTTGCACCAAGACCACAGCAACCCAATTCCAGTAACTTCACTTTTCAGCCTCGGGGCCCTCAAAATCTAGCCTCTCGGCCGGGTATTCAACCTGCACTCCAGATTATGACACCCCCAAATGAAACAATGCGGGCACCTCTAACACCTCAGTCTCCATTGATCAGACCATTAGTAAATAACTTGAATCATCCTGTTCAGGGTTTCCTGAGACCTCAGGTCAGCCATCCAATAAGTCAACCAAGACCGGAAATACCTATGAACTTTGCCAGAAGTTCAACTGTCCCTGCGTTTCCACTTAGACATCCAACATTTCCTTCTCCAGGTGCCATTTCACCTTCTATAACCCCTCAAACACCAAGAAATTTTAGTCCTGCTAATCCAATTGTCAATTCTGTTGGTCCATTTCCTCCCAGAGCAGGAAACCCAATCCTCCATCGCCAAAATTATCCGTCTGGAGCAACTCAGCCACAAAGATTTAAGGCTCCCCCTCAACATTTTAGTAACGATCCTGGTCGGCCACCTTTTAGTGCTTCTGGAGTGCAGCAATCGTATGATCCCTTCTCGCCAACTTCAGTTTCTTTCAACCCTCATATGGGTAGTGATACAGCAAAAATTCAACAGGAGAGTGATCCAGAATACGAGGACCTGATGGCCTCTGTAGGAGTTAAATGATTTACAGACAGGTGCACTAGTGTATAAACTTGCAGAGTTGGTAGTGAAACTGACTATTTTTTCTGTCGTATAGATTATATTGCCCTGTCTTAGTATATCACACGAGATAATGTATTGATCTTCGCCTTTTCTACTAATTGTTGAATGTATGTTAACACTCACTATATAGTGAATGAAAGACAGTAAGCCTCGAAAGAAGTGTTCGATGTTGCATGTATGGGCTGCCATGTAAACAGGCTGCTATATGTACGATGAAGTAGAATACATTTCTTACTGTTACAACTTAGTAAATCACGATTCTTGCCTTGATTATAGTACCAACGCATGATTCATAAATTCTCTCTGTCAATATTTGTCGATAAAGTTGAGACAATCAGACAAAGGTGCGTTGGTTCTTGAGATTTCATTTGTGGGTGCATGTAAAATTTTAGCTCAAATGTATTCTACCTTTTTGCAATTATACAAATTCAAGTTCTTGAGAGGTTAAAACTCTTAGGCATTTGATGCGCAGATGATCCAAGATTATTGCAGCAAAGTTCCATTCATTGTAACATGTACATGAGATCTGATACAGTAGCAGTTCAAGTCAAATTCATTCAGGGCCAGATGTGAACATCCTCTCGAGTTTCTCAGCCTTCGAATAATCGTTCTCGTTCAGAAGACACATACATACAGTTGCTATCCAAAATACGCTCAAACAGTAGGACTGGATCTGAGAACTCTCAAGCTTCTCAGCCTTTGCATAATCGTTGTCACTAAGAGGACCAGCTGGAAAAGGTGAGATTTCGATTATCAAGTGTGGTGTTGGGAGCTCATCGCACAAAGCTCTGACATTGTTGCAACATGCACTTTCTCCACGAGCATTTTCCCTCCTAATTTGACAGCCCTAGAAAAATAATATGAAGTTTATGCAAGTACCAGTAACAAACAATAATGCTATTTATAGTCATCGATTGCGATAGTCATATTATGTGGCATAATTTTAATAATTTTTTTAAAAAATAACTTCTAATAATATTGTGCCACATAAGATACTACGATTATTGCAATCATTGATCATGAATAGTACTACTCAGTAATAAATTGGTTTCCCAATTATTCTATAGCAAAGAACAAGACAAATGAAAATGGAACAAACATAAAGGCTGTATAACATTGATGACATGTTTCTATAGGGAGGACTGAATAATAAAAGAAGTTAAAATCTTATTTATTACAAGGGAAGGGAAATGTTATGCGTACACTTTATGGTGTACACAATGCATTACACTCCTTTCACATGGAGGGGGGTCCACGAATATTTTATAGTGTGTGAGCCCCCTTCCATGTGAGAGGGATGTAATGCTGTGTGTACACATAACATTTTCGTTATTATAACATCAATCATATTCAGTGATGTGTACCAAACATGCATTGAGTGACTACTATTACCTTGTGGGATGTAGCATCTCTGAAGTGTTCATCATCTGACAGTAGAGAAGCAATGGACTTATGAAGACGAGCCTCTTCGGACTTGGACGGGACCCTGTAGTTGCGCCTAATGGTACCCTTTGTTGTTGGATGTCATTTGCTGACAAATTTTCTTCTTTCCGTAGCCTCTTTCTGTTTAAACAGTATAGTTGCAACACATGAGACTCTGAAACAAGTACACAGTCTTGTGTTCAGCAAGCTTGAACAAATCCATGCAAATACGATCATCAACTATAGACTTACTAGAAGCAAATAACCTAATAACAGTCCGCTGTTACGGAAATTTTATTGTCGTTAGAGATGAATCATTCCAGTAGACACAATAGCTAACAATTATCAACCCTCAAAAATGGTAATATTTTCAGTTGGTTTGTGACTTGCGCTTTTATACTAACTTGAACCCATCTACCAAAACTAATTCATTTCCTTCCCCCTAATTTTTCCATCCAGGATCAGTATCAAAGTTAAATCTAGCTAAAGTCCACACACACGCACACATATACAGAGCATCTGTACTCATTTAGCCCCTGTTTGACAACCATTACTTGGAGAAAATACAGTTTTGAATAGTGAATTTTAGGATAATGGTGGTTAAAAAGTAGGGAAAAATTTTGAATTCACGTTTAGAATATTTTATTGTGTGAATGTGGTAGAAAATGAGTACGTAGAAAAAGGTGTTTAAAAATAATGGTCGTCAAAGAGGAGGCCTAATATATATTATATGTGAATACACATAAATTTAGAAATACATGCGTCTATATATACAAATGTACGTATTCAGTTGTACACATTGTCAAAAATGAAATACATATAAGACGGCCTTCTTCAGATAAGAGTGCGAGTGCAATGTCATAAAATTTAACTGATAACTGTAATTCATCAACTTCGTGGATGAAATCGATAGCTTACCTATTATCATATATTTGTTGACCCAGCATGTTCATAAAAACTTCAAGCTCTTGTTTTTCCTTCTGAATTTTCTCAATCTGCAGAAGTTCAACCATCACAATCACCGATATGATTTCTTTCATCAAATAATCCTCAAGAATTTGAAGCAATATGCTTTAAAGTACTTATGAGATGAAAGAAAAGAAAATAAACTTGATAGCATGATCGGGAAAATACAATTAGTTAATTTACCAGTACAAGGCACGGGAATCCAGGTAAATCACCACTCGATAGCTTCTAGACAAATATGCGATGATACTTGTTCAGCTGAACTTTTGAAAGCAGTTCTCGTACAGTTCATGAACCTTCACTACACATGCCTTGACAAGTTCTGGCAAACACACAGTAAAGTGTCTTCCTTTAAGTTTTCTTCATATAACTATTGATTTGAGGGTGCATGGTAATTATGTATCTGACGGTAGACTAAAAACTGGTGGTGGCAACAAGGAGTTAGGGATGGCAAAATCAATTACGTGGTGTTCAATAATTTAGGATGACTGGAAACACTTTTATGTGCATAAAAGTTTGTCAATAGTCATTATCTTAAGGGATGAAAAGTTAATTGCAGTTACTTCAGAAAAGGTAGGCAGAGTAAAGCATGCTGCTTTAGATATAGGAGTAAACCTTTCTGTCCGGTAAAGAATTCAATGACTGGGCTTTATCGTGCAAGGACACGACCTCTTCAGCTGTCCCCTTTCACCGATTCACCCGGCCTTCCATCATTCCCATTTCCTTCAACAAAGCAGATGCCATTACCTTGAACAACTCATTAACATCTTTTCTCCCTGAAGAATGATAATAATTTAGCAAGGCAAACCATGATATTGCATACTAAACGATATGTATAGACAAGTTTATGTCATGCCATATTGATCCGAGTCTTGTATAACTTCTTCCATTTTTGTCTCCATTTCATTTTTCTCAATTACTCACTTCTGCAGTTGACGCTCTAGTTCTTCAATCTTTAACGTAGGTATATTAAGTTTGTCATATGCAGCATCTACAGACTGTCTATAATTCAGTTCTTTTTTCCTTTCATATGATAAAAGACTTATCAGTCTGATATTTCACTTTTAATAAAAAAACAGACTTTAGGAAAATCCTTAGAAAAACATAATATAAAGTAGTTTACGTACAGAGGCTATATCTCCACTATATAACAATCTGGTTCTACCTCAGCATTTCACTGCTGGATATGATCACTCGTTAAGGTGTATGGACGAGATGAGTATACATACTTGTCTTCTTTCAGTTCATTCAACAAATCAAATAACACAATTTTACTACCGAAATTAAGCCACAAAAACTTGTTGCGTTTCTTCTACCTCAGTTCATTCTATAAATCAAATAACACAATTCATCTCGTCCTTACATCTTAATGAGCGATCATCTCCAGCAATGGAATGCTGAGGCAGAACGTTATAAAGTGGAGGCAGAGTCTTATGCAGGTAAGTTACTTTATAATACGTTATTTCCCAGAAGCTGTTCTTTATTAAAAGTGACATATTGGGCTGATAGGTCTTTAATCATACAAAGGAAAAAGGAATTGAATGTAAATGCAGAGTTTGTAGATGCTAGACAGGACAAACTGTATATATCTATGTCAAAGATTGAACTAGAGCATCAACTGCAAAAGTGTGTAATTGTGAAAAATGAAATGGAGATAAAAATGGAAGAAGCTATACAAGATTCAGGTCAATATAGCATATCGCATACCCATTTAGTATTTACGCATATATCATTTCATATGCAATAAGGGGTGAATCCAGGATTTTGACTCAGCTAGGGCGATCGTTGGCCGTTGACTGTCGATAGTCAACGGCCGTAGAGCGATACTTTTATTAATATTAAATTAAATAATATTAAAAATTCTTCGATCTATAGGTAAATATAGTAAAACGTAAAAATCGTATATTTATATCATATTATATTTCCATACAATTCGAAATAATATAAATTACATGATACATAAAACTTCTTTGTGTTATCAATACTTAACAAATCGTTTACTCGACTAAAAGTAGTTGAAAGTTTAGATACACCACTACAAGAATTAGATTGAAATTTAGTTGAAAAAATCATTTCATAATTAGTATGAGAATTGAACGTTAATCAAAGATTAAACGTAATTAAAATTAATTTTAAAATATAATTAAAGTTTCAATTTCCAATTCTCAACACCAATTCATCATAAATTATAAATTCCCCAATTTTTCATTTTCAATTTTTATGAATCACATATTCACATATCACGATACTCAAATTAATTTTTAATATCACAATTCATAGTGAACAAATTCTCAAATAACATATAAATTAAAACTCAATACTCATAAGTCATGTATTATAAATTATTGAAGCATTTAAAAAAAAAAAAAAAAAAACACTCTCCTAAAGTCTTAACATATATTATTTTGTTAAATTTAGATTTAAAATTCAACCATTGTCATAATGGTTAAGCTTCCAATTATCCTAGTTCTAGAAGTTATAGGTTCAAATCCTTTCCTTAAGGAATTAATTTGGGTAAATATTGTAGAATTACAAATTTTGCACAATGAAATGGAGGAGAAAGAATCGAACCCAAGACTTACAATATAAAAAATAAAGCTCTAACCAACTAAGTAGAAGAGAGGTTTAAAAATAAAATGAACTACTAGTTATATAACCTAAAATTTTTATCTATTATATTAAAAAAAAAAAAAAAATCTCTATGGCGAATCCAGCTAGGGCGGCCGCCCTAGCTGGCGACCTACTAAATCCGCTACTAAATTGCAATATCATGGTTTGCCTTGCTAAATTATTATCTTTCTGAAAAAAGATGTTAAAGAGGAGTTCAATGTAATGGCATCTGCTTTGTCGAAGGAAATGGGAATGATGGAAAGCCGAGTGAATAGGTGGAAGGGGACGGCCGAAGGAAATGGGTCAAAACTTTAAAACCCTAACATTCACAGCGTAGCGCAGGCTTAGTGGTGGGTGGTGCCTAGGCACCACGATTGATAATGGGTGGCGCCCATTTATATTTTGCTTCTTCCTGGCCAGTATAGGGTGTTTTGGGGCTCCATCTTCCTATAAACTTGTTCTTTAGATGGTGCCTGGGTGCCAGCCTCGTTTTCTTCTTTGACTTATTCCAACATCACTTGTTTCTCCAACTTTAGCACTCTTTTTACACCACCTCACCTAACCTATCAAACATATATTGGATTTAACTTTAATAATTCATACTTGCAAAAATATACATTATAAATATATGTGGAGAGAGGGAAAAAAACAAGCAAAGAAGTTAAGAGGAGGCAGTCACAAGATACACCTTTACTTCCTCAATAGAATTTTTTAATTCCCTTAACCGCTTAAACGTATCTGAAGGCTTTTCAGGAGACATAGTCCATTCGCTACACCTAAAACAGGAACTGGTGGAACCTGTACCCCAGATGCCCTGATTTTCTGCATTTTCTGATTAATCAACTTTCTTCTGCTTTCTTCAAGCTCTGCTATGCTTTCTTTTAGCTCACCTTTGGGAATGGAAAAAATATGCAGAGTCAGAACCCAATCATAAACATTTTCATTTGCAGAAACACACATAAAGCAAACAATACATTCATGCAGACAGATATCGGTAACTTCATTAGGAATGAAAATTTGCCACCAGTATGACTTGGTGAGCATAAACCTTGCATGTCCATTAGGGAGGGGGTGGGGAAATGAATACCTGCAAGACGCTTTATCTCAGATTGATCCACTGAATGGTTATTGAAGCAAGTCTGAATTTTTATGCTTCAAATGAAGAACATCAATTCCCTCGTGCAAATGACCAGCCTCCTCTTTCATTAAATCATTCAGCTTATGTAATTGGAAGATAACATCTGTCAATTCCAAATTGTTGCAAGAAGTTTCTTGTAAGATAACATATAACTATAAATATGTGAGCGCATGAGTACAAAAGGAATGAAGAAGAAATTGGCCTTCTACTCAAGGTCTCTCCCGACCTTCTGCAGATTGGTTTCCCTGCAAAGCCTGAGCGATGTCCTCAAGTTTATCTCTTAAAGCATCAATAGCATCTTCCAGTAATTTCATTAATCCCCGTGTAGAAGCCTGACGTGATGCAAGAGCTTTTTTAATGTAATTAATTGATCCATTAGCTCCATCCCTTGGAATGGAATTTCTTTGTAGTAGTCTACAGAGGAATATATCCTCCAAAGGACATGATGGAATTGAACCTACGGACAGAGTCGGTATCTATAATACATAACATAAAGAGTTAAATAATGTTCATTACTTCAAAACTGAAAGTAATCTTAACGGGAATACACGCTACCTCAAGAAGAATCAACATGATCTAGGTGTTGTAAGGCACTTTTGCCTGCCCCAGCTCGCACACCAAGTAAAATTAAATCTTCGAATAACTACACTAAGTCAATAAAATAAGCCGCTAAAGAATGAAAATCTTATAACATAACACAAGTAGTCAAACAGAGAGAGATTATACAAGAGGTCCTGTATGTGAATTACTGGATTCCAAAGTTGATTCACTTTAATTCCATAATTTTGGCTTCAAGATCACATATATAACTATTGCTTCTGTACTTCTGATTGCTGACCAAGTTTCTGGTTCTGGTACTGAAGAACTGTAGCATCAACCTGGTTCTGGTACTGAAGAACTGCAGCATCGACCTGTCAAAGAATGAATTTTACAATATGCAAATTGTCCTCCTACTCTCCTTCCTTCAAATTATGGCAAGACCTTAATGGACCAACCTGTGCATATGTACATATATAAATCGTGCACGAGGACTGACTTTTTAAGAGAAACCGTAATTACACAATCAAATGCAGGGACTCGTGCCTTTTTTATGTGCTTAAGTAAACAATGATAAGGCGAGAAGATATTACATTATGCAGGAAAAGCAAGAAAAGGATATAAAATAAATGGTTCTTCCCTGTAAAGGAATTTGTTTTCTTTCCAACAGAAAAAAAAAAAAAAAAAAAAAAAAAAATTTTTTAAAAAAAAAAAAAAAAAAAAAAAAACAGTAATTATTCTCTCGTCTTACCCTTACTCACCTTGATCAATCACAGCCATGTGCTTAACAATTATAAACAAGTATATGAACTATAAATGTGCTTGTAAAAGTTTGAATGCATATACATGTATCCCACATGAAAAAATCATCTCATATGCAACTTAAAATTTCATAGTTCAAGAAACTTCGATTGTTTCCTACAATTAACACATCACAAATGTACAGGCTGCATCAAATTAAACAATATATGCTTATAAAATGTAAGTTGTCATAGCTGGAAAGATACCTTGTCAAAAAGGGAAAAAGTAAGACTGTCAAAAATGATTTCAATGAACATATACTCTGGACTCTAGGTGGCTTCAAGCTCTCTAATCGCTATGAACATAAAAATACAAAATAATCCAAAAGCCAATAAAATTTTTTAAAGATTTTCCATATATTCTCATACAAAATAAAATGGCCAGCTGGAAAAAAATATAGATTACAAAGAATGAATGCCAAACTATAATTTAATCTTCACAATAAACGTTAAGAGTATTACTTCATTTCAACTTGAATAGGAAATTCAGTAGCATCCAATTGGATTGGGGAACCTAAATCCGGAAAATGATCCAGATCTAAGGACTGAAGATGCAAAGATCAAGAAATGCTAGATTCATGAGATCCATTGAGGGGATAAAAAGGACCTTCACAAAATCAAAATCTATGCCTAAGTTAAAGTAATATAACTTACAGGGCAAATTAAAAAAATGATATTGAGCAGACATACCAAGATCAGAATATCAAACTGTACGAAGTTTAGAAATTCTACCCAATTTCAAGCTCTAGGAGGGCTGGTTTTTAGCTCATCCACCTCACTCTAGAGAGATCATAAATGATCAATAAAAGTTAAGGGATTGTTGAACGCTGGCAGGTCCCTACCAGGAAGGAAGCATTATGCATAATGTGAGAAATGTACGTGCGAGCGAAAGAGAGTGCAAGAGACCGAGAGATTGAGCGAGGGAAAGAGAACAGATCATCAAGTTGAGAAATAGGGCCGACAGGACTTTTTTTGAATGTACAATATCAAAATTGGAAAAAGAAGGCTAAAATAAAGTAATTTGAAATCACCTATTGTCAGGCCTCAAGTCCACAGGGCTTAGGAGCAGGGTATAAAATCCAAATGCCTCATGATGTCGACTCGTTTCCAGAATACTGGGCCACTACATAGAAAACAATATGATCCAAATATTAATAACCAAGCGGGCCTCTTACAACATCAGACAGAAACTGTGAATGATTTTCAGGTAATAACCACAAAAAGTTACAGTTTAGGTTAGTTGTTAACTGTAAAGTGGTCAGAAAAACAAAAAACAAACAAATATAAATATTTAGTTTCCATACCGGGTAACCAAATTTCAACTGTGTAATTGCAAGTGTATGTAATAACAAAAATCAGAGAACTTTAGGTAACAATATATAACAGGCACTTATGTAACTACAGTGTGAGTTTAGAAATAAATTTCTTATTTTGTCCATTTTGAAGGGAGAATAGGAACTTGTGGCGTGAGAATCACTTCAAAGAACGAAAAATGGGTGTCATGATTCCAGTGAGAAAAGATAGGCGGTTGCCTTTAAGCCGCACTTCCATAAATACCACATAAATGACAAGAGTATTTTACGCCGACTCTATAAGAAAACTCTTCAAAATTTAGCAAATCAATGGAAGTGCGAAACCATTTCAGACATTTAAGCTTCCATGTAAACCTAACACCATTCCAATGTAGGAACATAAAGCTCCCCTTAGATAACACTGACTGTCAATGGAAACAAAAATCACAAATTTCTTATTCAGTAAAAGTAGGTTCAACATGAGATCATTAATGCCATTGCGTTTCCATGCAACTCACCAAACTCAAAATGAAGACGTGCACATTTCTTTACTTAACTGAGATCTCTAGAAACTACAAGACTCGGAAAAAAATGATAATACTAAAAATAAAAAAGGGGGATTTGTTTAAGAAGCCTAGTCAATCATAATGTTTGGTAAAATAGCTTATATCAATACTTTTGGTTAAGTAGTCTATAGTTTATTTGATTATATATTAAAAGTCTTAAATACCGTTAAATTGAAATCACTAAAATGTCCAATTTGGAGATCAATATTACCCAAATCCCCAAATATAAATCCCTAAATCCCCTTCATTTCTCTCGTTTCCAACTCCATTTTCACCATATTAAACCCACCTTAAAATCCAACTTTATTCTTCTTCATATGCATTATTCTTTCTTACAATGAATGATTACATGTTGAAGTTCCCTTTCCCGAACCAAGAACAAATCAAATAGTGCAAATTTTGGAGGTAGATTAGCAAGAATCGATTTCACATAGCTGAAGGTGAGCTTTATAAATTGAAAATTATCAATTTGTTGTTATTTTTTAGTTGTATACTGTTCGTTAAAATTCCGCAATCGTACGAGTTCATTGCACAAGTAATAATTGTGATGAAAGAGTTATCGTCCCACAATGAATAAAGTCTAATTCCAGTGTATTCGATATAATTAAATTCGTGAGATTAACTAAACGTTGACGTTTGTTTGAATAGCTAATTAAGTTCTATAACTAAAAATTTGCAAAATTTATAAGAATTTGTTTTAGAATTCAGATGAGTGAATGTATTGGATTTTCGACACCACTGATCAACTCTTAGTTCTAATTATCGACCTATGACAATTATCTCAACTCATGCAATTGTGACAATCGATAATTCCACATTTATTTATTATTCTTTCCCAAGATATAATAAACCTATGATTACCACGAAACGATCATATTCCTAGTCCGAATTCATATGGAAAACACGCATTGATGTATAGGATTATCACACATGATCGCACACGTCACAAATATTATTCCAAACATTCAATGTCCATATGTTCCAATAACAGTGTTCTACCTACCGTGAGTTTTAACATTACGAATAAGCAACTTATTGTCCTAATAGTACGCAAACATTAAAACAATATAGATATGCATATTAAAGAAACCACAACGCAAGAATTAAGATAAAAATATAAGGTTTTGAATTAAAAACTAGGAGTCAATCAGTTTTGTCATCCATCCAATACAAAGATGTTTAGCCTAGCATATTAATGTATGAAAAATAGGAAAAATAAAGGAACGACATCACCCGAATCATTAAAGTATGAAAAGAATCTGAAATCCTCTACTTTATGCTTTCTATTTCGGATCTAAGTGATGAAGTCTTGTTCTTCAATGTATATCCCGCTCTCTTTTCCTCTTTGTCGGCTTCCAATCCCATAAAAATTAGGTTTTTTTGTGGTTTCGTCGACTTTTGGTATAAATATCGTGCAAAGAATTGTAAACCAAAACTTTCCAAAATAAAATAAGGAAACAGAATTTTTTGTCGGAATTGAACCATTCAAACGCATAGTATCATCAATTTAGTTTCGGAAGTTCAATTTTCCAATCGTGCGTATGCACGACCTACAAGCCTATGCGTACGCACAGTTTAACTATTTTAGGGGCCAATTTGCAATTTGGTCCCTAAACTTTTTGAAGTGTGTGTTTTGGTCATTTTCCAAAATTTCTTGTCCCATTATCTTCTCTTCAACTCCAATTGACTCTTGGTGCTCTCAACTCATCGTTCTTTGATCAAATTAAAATTTTAGATTATTGCATTCTAGTCCCCAAACTTTGCCTTGATGTAATTGAGTCGTTTTTCCTGCTTATTTTCTTTATTCTCGTATCTTCCATTGATTGTAACTTACACACAATATATAAATAGGATTAAGTCATATTCCATCAAATTCTTTAACAAATACTCAATTTTAATGTTCTAAATAAGTGTATAAAATATACTTATCATATAATATGAGAAAAATCCATTGAGTAATTAAAATTTGCTATAAAATATTAAAACGGAATGGTGCCGTTTCTCAGTAGTTGGGTGCTCTTTTTTCCCAACTGGCTGCCGTTTTAATACGACAATGGTGGTATTGATATACTTATTGGCAAATTAGTTGTTTCTCCATCCTTTTATAGCATTATTATCATAAATAAATTTAAACGGCGCATACACATTTTAAACTACAGAATGCCTTTTTGTTCTGCTTAAATCTATTATGTAACAATATGAGTGGCCTTTTGTTTGTTATTGTAGCTATGATTCATAGTGTTCAGTTTTGATAATTAATGGAGTAATATATTATACTTGTTTTTTTGTTGAATTGCAGATATGGACTCTAGTGCAATGATTGTTATTTCTTATTTTGTTAAATTTGCAGAGAGTGATGAAGGTGGATGGATTTGAAAATGGATAGGGAATGAAAAAGACACCGCAACAAATATTATTGTATAAAAAACAATCTCATATGCAGAGTTGTATGACAAAGTTCGAAAAGCAGTTAAGGTTGATCCCAATATGTATGACATCAAGATGAAATTTCTCGTTCCCAGCATGGCAAAATTATCGGTTCCGCCAATGAAGATTACTTGTGATATGGATGTTAGTTAGTTTCTTTCTTTGCATGACAAAGTTTCAATTTGTGTAACCCTTGTAGAAAAGGGTTATGTAGATCAACAAGACATGGATGTTGATATTGTAAATGTTAAGGAGAATCATGAATACAATTAAAATGTTGTTGTGGACAATGCGGTGGACATGGATAAATTGAATATGCAAAAAGATTAGTCTGATGACAATTATATGTGACAGTTGTCTCCATGTAATCAAAATTGTGAAAACGATTGTGTGAACTTTACAAGTGATGATTATTGGGATGGGGTAGAAGTAGTGCATGGCAACTACATAGATAATTCTCATATGATAAATGAAGACAATGTTACTCATAATGCACCTTTTACATTGGTAGGTGAGATCATTGGCATATCTGAATCCTTGTGGAACATCAGTTAAGATTCCTGACATCGATTATGTGCACGTTAGCCAAATTTTTCGCAACAAGAATGATCTTCAGGCACACTACAAATACTTGCTGTAAGAAACTCTTTTGAATTTAGGGTCACTAAGTCAAATATGAGTACATGTGCTTGTGTTGAGGAAATTTGCAAATGGCGTTTGCGGGCAACACGATTGACGAAAAGTGACGAATTTGAAATTCGAAAGTATTCATGTTATCATAATTGTTCATTGGATGTTCGCCACAAAGATCATAGACAGGCTAGTTGTTGGATGATTGGAAAACACATCATGTCGAAGTTTGAGGAACCCAACATTATATACAGACCTTCGAACATTCAAAATGATATTCGTCGGGAGTTTGGCATAAATATAAATCATTATAAGGCATGAATGGCTAGAGAATGTGCTATAGAGCTATTAAGAGGTTCACCTGATCTTAGTTATGATAGATTGGCAAAGTATTACAATATTTTGAAGAAGAATAATCCCTGTACAGTGACGTTCATTGAGGTTGATAATAAGAATCGGTTCAAATACTTTTTCATGGCTCTAGGACCAAGCATACGTGGTTTTCACTCGTCAATGAGACATGTCATTTTTGTAGACGAAACATTTATGAAATCCAAATTTTGAGGTACGTTACTTGTTGCCACGTGTCAAGATGCAAATCTTCAGATATATCATCTTGCATTTGGCATTATTGATTCTGAAAACGATGCATCATGGATTTGATTCTTCGTATAAGTTATTTCAGTTAACGGATATGTTGGAAGGGCTTGTTTTCATTCTTGATCGCAAGGATATCATTGGTAACATTATAAAGATTGTTTATCTTTATGCACATCATGGATGTTGCATGTGGCATCTACAACTAAACATAAAGTCCAATTATCATAAGATCGATATTTTACAATTGTTTATGACAACTACAAAGGAGTATAGTTTGATTAATTTTGAAAAATTAATTGCAAATCTATATCGTAAAAGTCTAGTAGTTGGACAATACCTAGAAAAGAAAGTTGTGTATGAATTTTGGTCCCAAGCACATTTCAAAGGAATTTGTTACAATATTATGACAACTAATAATGCAGAATTTTTGAACTCGTTATTCAAGAATGCTCGAGAGTTTTCAGTACTTGCTATGGTTGAGCAAATAAGAAAAACTTTACAGAAATGGTTTTATAAGAGACACAATGACGCTGAAAAATGTGCAACTACTCTAACCCCGCCCATTGAAAATAAAATGCATAAAAAGTATGATGATGCAAAGGGACTGATAGTGGTACCAATAAATGAGTATGAATTGCACGTCGGTGTTGAAAATAAAATGCATATCGCGAACTTGGAGGCAAGAACATGTAGTTGTAGGGAATTTGATTTGGAAAAACTTCCTTGTAAACATGCACTTGCAGCAGTGAAATTTAAGGAAATATCTTATTACAATTTGTGCTCACCTTATTATACCAGTGCTAGTTGGAAACAAGCATATGCTGAATGTATATATCTGCGGCAAATGAGGCTGAATAGGAAATCTCCAATCAGCCAAAGGTGTTATCACCCCTTTCGAATCGACGACAAAGTGGACATCTAAAAAACCGTCGAATTCCATCAAGAGGAGAGAAAAAAAGACTCGTAAATGTAGCAGGTGTGGCCAAAGGGACCATAATCGTCTGACTTGCAAAAATGCTCTACACTAGTTGACAAATGCATAGAACATTTTTTGTTTAACCTTAATCTTGAAATTATAATAGATTATGATGATTTTTGATATATTGTGATAGTTGTTTGACAAAGTATGATAGCCACTTCAGACAAATTTTTAATAAATATGACAGTATCACTGTTTGTTCAGACCAAAACGACATCTGGTCGTTTTAAATATAAGAGTGCTATTTCTACTTATTTTTTGTTCATTTTTGTTCATTCACATTTGTTATGGATGGATGGATGTTAATTGTTAATTTAATTTTTATATTGTGATATTTTTTGAAAAATTTTGATTGATTTGTAAGTCAATTTCTGGTTAAAAAAGACAGCAGCATTGCTTGTTTAGACCAAAACGGCATCTGGTCGTTTTAAATGTATGGGTACTATGTCTACTCATTTCGTGTTCATTTTTGTTCATTCATGTTTGTTATGGATGGATGAATTTCAATCGTTAATTTAATATTTACATTGTGATGATATTTTGATCAATTCTAATAGATTTGTAAGTCAGTTTATGATAAAAATGACAGCAGCACTGTTTGTTTAGCCCAAAACGGTAGCTGGGCATTTCAACTTCACAAAAATAATTAATGTAAGAATAGTTACCTGTCAGGTGCATTAACCAACCAATTCTCTAAGTCATCTGCCTTAGTCGGATCTAGCTCTTGAAATGGGTCAAATGCGTTTACATTGTGAAGCTTCCTCCTCTTCTCCGGATTTGTGAACGAAGATTGAAGAATGAGTTTCATTTTCTTGATTCTCATTCCGCGCCCATTCTGACTTGAGTCATGAGACTCATCTTCCATCACTGTAGGGATGGACTCCATTGCATCACCATGAGATACAGAATCCATCGGTACACAGGTATCTCTCTCTTCCACACGAGTTTGATCATCATTTGACAAATCTGTTACTTCTCTTTACTCATTTTCCACTTAAACGGGATTTAGACAGTTATTCATATCAGTTGCTTGTTGTGGTCCATGCCATCTATGGGCGACGTTATTTCTTTAACAAAAACTGGTTCATTTGGCAACACATAATCTTCCACTTGTCTCTGCTCATTGTCATCTTCCTTCTCATCATTTTGAGCATCTACATGTACAAGTGGATCCTCATTTACATCACATGCCTCTCCAGCATTCATAAATCCACTACGAAGAGGAGAGTGATATATGTAAGGTGTTGTTGACGGGTTAGAATTCTTAATCCACTTTGCAACAGATGGTATCTTCTCATCAATTTGTCTACACAAAGATGTAACACAATCAAACCTTTGGTCTATGTAAGAACGCATCTCATTTATCCGCCCTTCATTTTTCCTTTCTAAAATCTCTACCATTTGCAGTAATTGCATTCTCAATTCCTAAGCAAACTCATCTCTAGATGGATAAAGAAATGGATATGATGTAGATGGCCCCAGATGAAATGTATGAGCATATGGAGAAATAGGTGGCCTATGAAAGGAAGATGGATCCCGAGTATATGTAGAGGCATTAGGAGACTGGCAAGTTTGCTAAGGAAAATCAACACGAATGGACGAATATGCTACATTTTCCTTATCCACAAAGACATCAACTGTTGGATCCTCTACTTCATCCTTGAATCTCCCTCCAAAATGCTTTAGACGCCTCTTCCGGCGTAGGTTTCAGTGTGTAATGAACAACAATCTATATGAAAAATGAGAGGCTCACTTAGTTGTCGTAAAATACACTATATATTTTGATATACATTTAAAATTTACTTACAATTGGCTCACCTATACTTGCACCAATATCCTTGGAGTTAGTCATTTCAGAAGAATTCTATCGACATATTCTGGGGAGGTCAGCCTCCTCTAGATTCTCACCATATCTTTGTCCAATGGATGGTATGATTTCATAGGCCCAAATCTGCATAAGATGCAAAATATTACAATCTAAATAAAATGAATAATCAATTGTAATTTTAAAAGCATTACTTGCAAGGCGAGTGGAAATCCATAAATTGAATATGGATATTTCTCATTATTTATCAAATATGATTTCACCAACGATCTCCAGTCTCTCGTGAATACATCTATTGTACGCCCAAACACCTTTCTCCCCCAAGGATAACTATTAAAAGCCTCTAGGTCATCAATCATTGACAAGTGTTCTAAATTTTTGTATGTGTAGTTTTCTTAGGGCAGTAGTACCGTTTCCAAAATATATACAAGCTCAATCCTGTACTTGTCTTCCGTACGCACTTTGTGACTTTCAATAGCTTTCTTCAAATTGTACACCGTTATGCCTTTCTTGCACTTTTTAAAGTGTTTCTTCACCAATCTATCATTAGTCACAATATGGGGCTCCAACGAAGGCTCCTCACTTGCTCTCAACCCCGTTATCAACGAGAACTTGTATAATGAAAATCGTGTTAGCTTACCTCCAATTGAAAACCAGATCTCATTTTTTTTTGTTACAATCATTCTCATTACAAGTTGGTGGACTAGCTATGCTGAAAGAGGTATGCGCTTCATTCAATAAAGTTGTCCGAAACAAGATTCCATCAACATTTCTTGATGAACATCATCTAACATTTCCCGAACATAGTCAAGTTTTTGAAGGGAAGACTTTTACGAAGGCCTGCCTTTAATTCTATGTTCAATGGAAATCACATAGTCAAATGAGCGTTCCATTTTTGTAATGAAAAAATAAAATGATCATGTTAAGTTGTCAAAATTACATAAACAACAGGGTGACATTTTTAGAATTACATAAACGCAGGGTGACATTTTCAGAATTACATAAATAGCAGGGTGACATTTTCAAAATTCCTAAAGAAGACGTGAAGATTTCAGTTGACCACCATCATTTTGCTGCAATCAAAAGTTTCCGCTAAAACCATGTTCAAGTTTCCGCATAGATTTTAGTTTCTGAACATTTGGATCAATAAACTATAGAAAACTCTAAAACAGATTAATGAAATTACCTAATAATTAACATATTGAAAATCCACATTTCCCCTGGCACTCAAAGAAAAAAAAAAAGCTAAATAGAAGGGGAGAAACCAGGAATAATATTCCAGTGTGAGTGAAATTTCATCAAGGCCGGACTTTATTTTCGATCATGAATTCAATGATGGTAAAAATATAAACTAGTATTATGACAGCATTAAAATGGCATAGTTTATGAATTACTATTGTTCCTTTCAAATTTTCAACCAACTATACTCCAACCAAATAACTACTAAACTCATGATAAGTGCATTTCAGAATGAAAGTGAACAATAGAAATGTATGGATTTTCATACTCACATTAAACTTGAAAACATTTTATTAAAAATAAGATATTAAGTGAAACAAATCCCCCTAAAAATTAATAGGTACACTTAGGTATAAACTCAATGATGATTCTATGCCAAGTACAAAAAGGTACACTTAGGTATAAGATAGTCTTTCCTTTTTCAAGATGATTTTGCACTTTATTGTTTAACCTTTGGTTTTGATTGGTTTAATACAAGAAATTGTCATTAAAATTCTTTCTAGTTATAAGCGTGATTAGAAATTTATGAACCTGCAAGTCTCAAACCCATTCTGTAGGGGTCTTTCAAATATGAATTTCCACTTGATTTTTGATTGAGGTCTAAAGAGACATCCCGTAAAAAGCTAATGTCCATATTGTAGAATAAGAATCTTTTTCAATGTATTAATAGTTGTCACTAACAATACAAAGAAGCCATTTTTCCATTCAACGAGATAAATAGGCTTGGCAAGAGTTAGGGAAAACAGAGGAGCTACGAGTAATTGGATGCAACTTTAGGTAATTGAACCATTTTGAATCCCAAAACATATAAAATTTTAAAGCATTCCATTTTACTTGAATTCAAAAGTTAATATTACTAAATACAAAATTTTCACCTTTTGCGAGCTGCATTAATAAATCACTCGATCATAGGATAGGTCGAAATTTTCTAACCAATATGACATTCTATTTGTGAATATCGAACAAGATGAATCTATGTTGCCATTTGTGAATAACATTTTCTTAAAAATAACTCTTTCTAGTTTGTGCATTGAGTGTTTATGGAACATAAGGATTTTCTTATTTTGAATTGGAATTAATAGTTCATGAGCATTGCAGATGTTATATATAGAGAAACATGGTCCAATAGGGGGCCATAATAATGTGCTATCAAACATTTAAAACCTACTAAAAAGGTCCAACTGGAGTCTCCTGTTCACTTTGACAGAAGCTAAATTGATATTATATTGATAGCACAAATTGAAGGGAGAGACTGGCAGTAAATATATATTATAGTTAGACATTCGAGGCATATTTAACTAGCGCTCTTACACCTACATTAGTTACCATGATCTTCCACGTCTTGATTATCTTAGTCTTCATAATTTTTTCTGCTAATTCTGTTACTGCTTTTTTTTGACATCCTCTTCTGAAATTGCCATCTTCAAAGCAACTAACCTACCTCAATCTCCTTTCATCTAATCTAAGTAGACCCTTTCTGAAAACCAGGTTAGCAGAGACTAGTAATTTGGGTCATAGAGAGGCAAAAGAAGAAATGAGACCCTGGAATTCAAAATGTAATATTAATAAATCAACATATTGATGATAAATGCAGTACATTAAGATTTTGCTCAAGTACTCATTACATTCTAAAAAAACTATATACCATGGTTTTCCTATGCAATTATGGGTCAATAACTCTAAATATCGTTAGAAATTTCATACCTATGGATAGCCCAGTAAGATATTGGTTCCTAGAACTGAATTGGTGAATAACTCTTATGCAGGGGCGACTCCAACTCGCGAAAATGGCAATAATGATTCGCTATACTGTATGAACTCCGTAATCCGTGAAGGAAGAAGACAAGAAGGGATGGGGCTGAATATATTGATTTCGCGTCGGCGATTCGAATGGGAGGAACCGATTGTGGCGCTCAAGAGAGAAGAACTGAATGCCAATCTAGGGTTTGAATCGATTTTGGAATGGGAGAGGAAATTCTGTAGTGTTGAATAATGGTAATTTAGATAGTTTATTAATTTTAATTTAAAATGTTTATGTTAAAATTTTTACTCTGGTCAAAGGCTAAAATAGCAAAGTGTATTATGAAAGGGTTATTTGACCCAATTTCCAAAATAAAAATAACCCAAACAAACTGAACATTTTTTGGTCTTTATCGTACCACTAAACTTAGACCATAAATTTCATTTCAATACTCATAAAACGTAATCAAACACCTAATTTTGCTCCATTTTCGATTAAAAGAACAGCCAAATTAATTATATTAAAAAGTTTATTCAAGGTAACCACAATCAACCCATTTCTAAAACCCTAGGCCTCACTAAATTCAATTAACACCCCTCACCAAACGATTTAACAAAATCTATTTTATGAAATCAAGAAAAATAATACAGTAATTGCATGTAGCTAATGTGCACAACTAAGCAAATTATATATTAAAATAAATATAGGGAGGGAGACAAAAATAGAATTCATGATTTTTTTTGGGTTCGTTGTCGTTAGACAAAGACGAAGAGTTGCAAGCCATTGAATAAGTATTCCTGGTAGTAGAGGTGCGAGCGCTTTTGCCGTGGCTCTTCTGTTGATGTTTCCATTTACGCCAAATCCAAAAGTATCTTCTTCCCTGTATTGATAATCAGGGTGTGTATAATAATTCGAACCGTTGAATTCCTTGTTTAACTTCTTTGTTTGAGTTAAATTGAATTCCTTGTTCAACTTGTTTGTTTGAGTGGTGGATTTGCAGTAATAATAATAAGAAAAATGCTAGGGGTACACGATGGTTAAAGCAACCCTCACACGGAAGGGCCCACACATAATAAAATATTAGCGACCCCTCTCACCCCCTCCATCCATGTGAAAGGGTGTAATACATTGTGTACAATATGTACACATAGCATTTCCCTAATAATAAATCAAAAAATACTGTAAGTA